TTTCTTGCTCTTAGGCTTTCCTTTTCTCTCTCTACTAGTTGGAGTTTCCTACTCTCCAGGGACCCTTAAGCAATATCTATTATGTATTGCTTTCTTTTAAGAAAGCAAAAAGTTTAGCTCGCGTCTAAGCATAGCCTGGTTTTCCCAACTATGTAGTCTCCATCTTCCATTCTTCCTTTTCGTTCCCCTCTCCTCTTTGAAGAGCTGAGGAAGTTCATGAATGTACTTAATAGAACTGGGCATCCTGTTTTGGTGTGTGTAGTTCCCCCCACACCCCTGCTTTTACAGTAAACCACCATAGGGGAAACAAAACTGTAGCTCAAGTCATTAGACTTGCAGCTGTTTTTTAAAGGGCTTTAAGAAGAAATGCTGCTAAGTTTGCAGGAATCTACACCTTTCTTCCCTCTTTAGAAAAGTGTTTCGCTCCTTTTTAAAAAAAAAAAAAAAAAGAAGACTTCAAAGTCACTTCTCAAACTCTCCTCAAGCACTTGTCTCTTCTGGCAGTGCTAAAGCATTACTGTTAAGAGGCACTCATGAGAGGTTATATTCTTTGCTCTATGTTCTTCTGAAGTCAATAGAAGACAGCTGTCGGGCTCTTACGGCTTGAATCACTAGATAGGCCTGTTACTGTTTGAGAGAGATGCTAGTGGACAGAGATGTAGCTTTTATTTTGATTAATAAAAGGCACTTGTCCCATTTTCAGGTGCAAAATAACCCCACAGCAATCTCAAAGCTGTCAAGTGACAGCCAAAGTAGGTGCTTACCTAGTGCTGATGGCATTGGTCCCCAGGCATCCATTTAAAAAACAAAACAAGCTTTGCTTGCCCTTGGGACATGATTTGAGGAGCTGAAAGATGTGTATGCTTTATTTTAGAGGACAGATGTAGTGATGCACCTAATAGTTGTAAGGAAATAAGTGCTTACATAGCATTGAGCTTTCTAGAAGAGAAAAGAGCTACATTTTATTTTTCTGTTTCCCCCCACCCCTGGTTACAAGAATCCTGGCTTGAAAGGCAGCCCTATCTCCTGGCCTCCTTCTGCTCTGAACAGTGGGTTAGATGGGTTGCCTGACTGTTGAGTACAGTTTCCCACTCTTTTAGACAACTGGGTGAAACACATGAGTTTCTGAAGGGCTCATGGGATGTCTGTTCCTTTCATCATCGTTTGTTACAACAGCCTGTACATACCTGAGGCCTGTAGTAAATCCAGGGGGGGCATGAGCTCAGCTTGTGAATTGTTTCCTCACCAACTTGTGTTCAGCTCTGCTGGAAGATTCTTGTTTCTTTGTTATCAGCGTTTGCCTTGATCTGCAGCAAAAGCTCCTCCAGGCTCAAGAACACTGCATTCCTATGAGCAAGAAGTCGAGCAAAGAGGACAGGAGACCTGCATGGATGAACGAGGAGCTCCTGACAAAACTCAAACATAAGCAGGAAGTATACAGAAGGTGGAAGCAGGGGCAGGTAACCTGGGAGGAATATAGGAAAGTTATCATAGTATGCCTGGACACAACGAGGAATACCAAAGCCCATTTGGAATTAAATCTGGCAAGGGATGTCAAGGACAGAAAGATGGGGTTCTATAAGTACATAAAGAGAAGAAAGACTAGGGGAAATGTGGGCCCACTCCTGAATGGGGCAGGGGCCCTGGCAGCAGAAGACAAAGAGAAGGCAGAGATACTGAATGCCTTCTTTGCCCCGGTCTTTACTGGTAAGACTGGTCTTCAGGAATCCCTGCCTGGCTCCGGAGAGCAGGAAGAAAGTCTGGAGAAAGGAAGACTCTCCCTTGGTCAAGGAAGATTGGGTTAGGGATCACTTAAGCAAACTGGGCACCCACAAGTCCGTGGTCCCTGATGGGATGCACCCACGAGTGCTGAGGGAGCTGGCAGATGTCATTGCAAGGCCACTCTCCATCATCTTTGAAAGGATAGGGAGATCAGGAGAGGTGCCTGTGGCCTGGAAGAAAGCCAGTGCCCCTGCAGCCTTCCAAAAGGGCAAGAAGGAGGAGCCAGGGAACTGCAGGCCTGTCAGCCTTCCCTCCATCCCGGGAAAGGTGATGGAGCCCCTCCTCCTGGATGCCATCTCTAAGCATGTGGAGGACAAGAAGGTGACTGGGAGTAGTCAGCGTGGATTCACCCAAGGGAAATCATGCTTGACCAATCTGCTAGCCTTCTCAGATGGAATGACCGGCTGGGTAGATGAGGGCAGAGCAGAGGATGTTGTCTCCCTGGACTTGAGCAAGGCTTTTGACGCTGTCTGCCATCCCCTCCTCAAAGGCGAGCTCAGGAGGCGTGGGTTGTATGAGTGGACGGTGAGGTGGATTGAGAAGTGGCTAGATGGCCGAGCTCCGAGGGTTGTGGTCAGTGGTGCAAAGTCTGGTTGGATGCTGGTCACTAGGCTTGTATCCCAGGGGTCAGTACTGGGGCCAGCACTGTTCAGCTTTTCGCTAATGACCTGGAGGAAGGGACAGAGTGCACCCTCAGCAAGTTGGCTGGTGATACTAAACTGGGAGGAGTGGCTGACACACCAGAGGGCTGTGCTGC